GAAGGACAACTCATTATATATCCTGCGGGCCAGTAGTAGGTGATTACATGTTATTAGACGTCCGCTCTAACGCAGAGCTATAGGTTTTATCTTAAATGTGGATATGATCATATGTCCTATCAAAACACAGTTGCCTGTTTATGTAGATAAATATTTAACTAACCATAATTTTGCACTCATTATATCTTGTCATCTCATTATTTTTCTTATTTATTTTGTTCATATAAGATAATATGTACTTGGTTGTTTCTTGTTTAAATTAAATTCCTTTATTATTTGAAATGATTTTATGTGCAGTCAATCCTTTATTAAGAAACGTAGCGATGGACACACACAGAAAAATGTAGCACACCCTTCTGTATGACATGCATACATTTGAACAATTTAAAGTGGACCTATCCGATGCGTTTGTTACTTTTTTATTTTATTTGTAGGGCCATTTATTCTTATAAAACATGTCTGTGAAGTTTTTTTTTATATTATATAACAGATCATGCATTGTGTTCATTTGTTTGCTCTTGTCTGTTTTTGCTGTTGTGTCTGTGTGACGTGCTTTTATGTTTGTGTTGTGCTGTGTCGTCTTCCTCCTCGCCCACTGCAGGAGAGGGGAGGTGCTCTGATCAGCTCTGGGCTCTCAGGAAGAGGGGGAGCAGATAAGAAGAGATCTCTGTCCTCGTGTTTTTATCTTATATGTTATATAGAGGTCATTATCATTGTTTTAAAGCTCTCAGATAAATAACAAAGAAGACCTTGTCCGGAAGATTTAAACTTTAACGGACATGTTGACCAGACTGAACTGAAACTCTGCCGCACAGTCCCCTCGTTCCTTGGAAGAGGCGGAGAGGTGGGTGTTTGTCATCTGCTGGTGGACTAGAGAATTATAGTGCTTGCCTCGACGGGGAGAGATTGCATTGAATTACAGCAGCAGGAGGCGCAAACGCTTGCCTCGGGGAGGGAGAAAAAGAGCCACAGCGGAGAATAAACAGAAGGGCAACCATGGCAACCATGCGCGGAAAGTCTTCTGCGCTGCTTTTGTGGCAGACTACAGCGCCACTTACAGGCCTGGCATATGTACTACAGCGTTTCGAGCGGCAATGGCCGGCCGTGCCCCAACCCCCCATTCCCCTGATAGGTGGAGAGTCGCCCATATAGGCGGAGCATCCGTTTTCTGACGTCAGAAAAATTAACGTCTGTATCAGCTCCGTTGCAGCCCCGTTTTTAGAGATTTAGGTACGGAGGAAAAGAGAGAGGGTTGTGAGTTCCCTGACACACCGGGGACACATATTCATGTATAAAAGACGTACAAAAGTGCATTTTGCATGATAGGTCCCCTTTAATTAAAAGTGTGCATGCATATTTATATGAATGAATGTATGTGGTTGTTTTTTTTAAATCCATCTTTCCATTTTGAATTGTATGTGCAACACATTTAACATCACACAAATAGTTTATTATCAACAAATCAGAAACAATTCACAAACAAAAAATACGTCATCCAGAAGGATTGGCCGCTCATATCAGAACATTTTATAAAATGTGTCATAGTCTTGTTTGCATAAATGTAACTGAAGCTTGCAAAGCATTTCAGAAAACCCCTTGGTATTTATAAGAGGTGATGGAAAAGCACCTCACATCTCTTTATATAGTGTGGGTTTACACTGTACATCATCACCAGATTGTTTTCTCTAATAGAGGCAGTCATCAATCTCTCCGCGCTCTCTCCTTACTCACTCCTGTCTCCCACTCTGAAACACAATGATACGCTAAAACAAGATATATGTGGAGCGAGCAGAAGCCCTGCTCAGCCTCCTGTGCGTCACTGCTGAGGTTCGCTGCTCTCTGTGGTTGCCTCCGTGAGGTGAATGCGTTCAGATGTTACTCATGGTGGAGTCTGGTAATGCAAATAAAAAAATGCTAATAACGACCAAGCCTTCACTTTCTCACTCTCCTCCATCCGTCCTTCCTTCTGTCTGTCTGTCTAAACCAAACACCAAGTGTCATCTGTCAGTCTGCAGTGTGATCTCACTCCGCTGCAACATGAATAATGAAGAGACGTGTCTGTACTCTGATCTGACTGCAACCTGTCACAAAAACGACTTTTGTTGGACTATATATTGTCTTTCAATACCATTCTATACCACTGATATCATGACAATATAAAAGCATTAAAAAGCAAAGATCAATTACGTTTTATTTCCTAAGAATGTAAAATATCCTAAATTCGATTCTAAATAAAATACAAATTATTAAGAAAGATAATAAAAAAAACAATAAATAAAATGGACTCACAGCTTTTAAGAATGAGCAAGTCTTATTCTGGTAGGGTACATGTTGGTGACATTCTTTTGTTAAAATGAATGTATGTAAACAAAAGGTCGGATTAAATCATCAAAATCATGTTCGGACTGTATACCATAAGGCCATAGTTATCTTGACAGAACTAGTCTTAATATTTTCTGACTTTTTCGACGGCTTGCTCTGCCTGGTCGTTTTAACTGATAAAAAAGAATTCCTGACAGTTTAATCTCCAATTAGCAATGGTTGGCTCATTTTATCTGTGCTCTAATGTCTCATTAATGTCTCTGTCTCTCCCTCAGGACACCGTGTCTGTCCACCGGCCAGGCTTCTACGCCGACAGGTTCTTCAAGTTCATGAGCAGCAACGTTTTCAAGAAGAGCTCCTGTGAGTTCAATTTACATCCACTCACTGCCTTACATAGTCAGACGAGGGCTGGGGGGAGAAGAGCTCAGACGCAAATGTCAGATGCCAGGCTTTTGTCTCTTTTACAGCCGAGCCTTGACAGGAAATCAGATACAGTTGCTACCCACCTGCCTTATTAGGTGCTGCCTCGTGTCATGTGAGAGTCTAACGTCCATTTGATCCTTGTGCAGTTCCTTTTCGTCTCCTTCCAAAGATTAACGAACACACAAATAATGATTTGTTGTGTAGGCCGAGGGCAGATCTGATATTTTCATTTTTAATTATTTGCGTTTTTACCTCAACTGACAATTTAAAGTTTTGTATTGTACTGCAGCCTCAACACATTGCTATTGATTAACAGGTCAAATACATCTGCTGAAACAGTACATTGATATATGTAAAGAGTCCGGTGCTATGATTTGTTTTAATCTGTGTAGAATTTCCCATTTGTACCCAGCCCAGGAATAACAAAGTGAAATGTGCTTTCCCATGTTTACAAAGTTATTGAAGGTGTCATTGTGCATTGCCCCTCAGCTCTGAAGTCCTCTCCATCTAAGAAAGGTCGCGTGTCGTTGTCGGTGCCCAAGTGTATCGGCCCCGGTGCCGCCTGGTCAGCCAGCCAGCTGCCGTCTGAGAGAGACGAGAACATCTACGACCTGAGGGGAGCTCGCAGCTTCCCCACGCTGGAGGATGAAGGTAAATCCCATCTGCATACAGAGTTGTAGTGCAGGGAGGATAACCAAATAAAGAAAATAGGAAACATCAGTTGTTTGAGTTTGGATGAGTAAAATGTTGTTCTGGAAGGTATATTCTGTCCCTTTTTAAACAAAACAACTTCTGATCGTTTGAACCTTTGGAAAACAACTGGCCTGTTAGCTGGTGTCATTGGAATCATAGGGCAGCACAGGCAGTACAGCACTTCATGCCTCCTTTTACACAATAAATGCAGCATGAGGTGCTTTTCAGTTTGAAAAATAGACAACAAATGTCACGGTTAATCATAAATATAACACTAGATAAAAAAAAAAAAGGTAAAGAAGAAATATGATACACAACATAATACCTGTAATAAAAAGGTGAAATAAATAATCTCAAAGTCATATACACTCATATCTATATGTGTGTGTCTCTTTCTCTTCTCCTCCAGGCCGAGCAGACCATCTTCCATGCACTCCTCCCTCGTTTGAAGAGGCCACCACAGCGTCTATTGCCACCACTCTCTCTTCCACCACCTCTCTGTCCATCCCCGAGAGATCCCCCTGTGACACCGTCGAGCACCCCCGATACAGGTGCTCACACACACCACACACACACACACACACACACACACACACACACACACACACACTGAGCAAACCGTACAATAAGATAAATGCTTTTTCTGACACGTTATCTACGCAAGTACAGTTGACATTGCCTTTGATATTACTTTATTGTTGAAGCAACATATTGACAAAGTCTTCGATAGCTGAACTGAAATTTATGATTATCTTTCCTTATTCTGTGTACCGTAATTTTCGGACTATAAGCCGCGCCTTTTTTCCCATTTTTCGACCCTGCGGCTTATATAACGGTGCGGCTAATCTATGGATTTTTTACAGCCTTAACGCTCGCACAGGGACCTCCTAAATCTACTGGATTTAC